TGTAGGAGCACTCCTGGAGTAAGACAACTCAGACCATATCTGATTTTGAAATGACTTGAAAGCAAGTAGAATGTAGAACTATAAATACAGTTAATAAGGCAAAAAAATAAAAGAGTAGGAGAAAAAGAAAGAAATCAAATTGAAGAGGGCGGATGAAACAGTTACTGGTGGGTTTCTCTCCCTGAGGAGCAGTCGCTCCTGAACTGTTTTCCATGTGGGTTCTTCAAGGGGCACTTGTTTCTCCAACCTGCTGACTCCAGGATTTGTAGACGTGCGAGAGGGCCCTCCCACAGGATTGGGATGACTTGGCGTCTGCTCTTGACAGAAGAAATAGCAGCAGCCACCATGGGTTGAGCCTCTGTCTGTGTTGGGCATGTAGATGAGCTCTAATCATCACGGGGCCCTGCAGACTAGATATGATGATCCTTGTTCTACCCGTGACGGCAGGGAAGCTCTGAGCAAAGCCGTCTGGCTAGCGACAGGCAGAGCCGACTGGGCCGGCTGGTTATGATGGCATGCAGGCCGTGTGACTTGCAGAAGACTTTGTTACCTGCCAGAATGAGAGGGCTGAAGCTGTTGTTAATAATGCCGTTGGTGTTGCTGAGAACACCCCAGGGTGCTGGTGGTTTGTGGGCCTTGTTAGTGACAGTGGACTAGCCAGATGCACCCACTGTTGGCGCTTGTCATCTTGGAGAGTGTCCGCCACATGCCCCAGGCTTCCTTTCTCTCAGAAGAAACTTGCTGACATTGATCCCTAGGGCAGGGTGTCCTCTTTCTCTCCTTAAAGGAGAGTTAAGAGCAAAACGTTTAACTGAAGTCTAAAACTCCTGTTTGTTAGAGAATCAATTATAGTATCCACAGCAACCTAAAATGTGTCAGCAGAGCACAGGGTGACTTCCCTAGTTCTCTGTATTTGAAGGACAAAGCTTATCCGGAGCTTTGTTTTCTGGCCACATGTTTTCATCTTCCCTCCGTCCCTCTGAGTTAATAAAGGTCAAAGAATAGAAGGATGAACTCGGGGTCGACCTGAGGCCTGTTGGCTTTCTTCCTCTGTGTGACCCCACGGGGCCTCCCCATAGCCACTCATTCAGGGGCCAAGAGCAGCCCTGCGTGAAGTGTGGCTGTGGGGGATGAAGAGGGAAGCCCAGTGTCTGGACTGATCATGTGCAGCCGTAGCCACTGCTGCTCTGTTGGCGAAACCCTGAGCTTCTCGGGTCAAGCAAATGGAAGCCTGTGGAGAGCAAGCCTTCCGCAGGTGCTGGCCAGGGAGGGGGCAGGGTATGGCTGCAGAGGAGACAGGAGCAGGGGAAGGAGTGGGTTGGCAAGGAGGAGCGCTGAGAGTACTCTGCTGTGGCCAGCTTCTCTCATCACCATGAGTTTTGGCCCTTCTCTCATGGTGACGAGTTTGGGATCAGTCTCCATTATAGGAGGGGACCCCTAGTCTGGAGCTCAGTTTTAGTTATTCTTTGATGTGCTTTCTAGATTTTGTAAAAATGTGTGTGTGTGTGTGTGTGTGTGTGTGTGTGTGTGTGTGCAATCATAATGAAACCCAAAGCCTGGGTCACTGGTTGTGGGAGGGCTGGGGGAGCGTCAGGAGAATGGAGACAGCTGTCTGCACAGTCACTCTCCAGGTTCCTGCTCACACCACGGTAGGGGACCCTCGTGCTCCTGCTGTGGCTTCACTATCGCCCTTGCTCCTCCTCTTGGTTGTACCCTTGGCTCTGATCTGCTTTTGATTTGAAAAGACTTTAGAACATTTTATGTAAACGTCCAAAACATGTTATTGTCTGTAGTAGCTTCAGGGTGTGAATGGGGCCCCTGGACTCAGAGAACAGAGGTCTGTGCACACTGACAAAGCTGGCCTCTCCTCTCACATTGCTGTGTGGCCGTGAGATCTTTTGGCTTTGCTGCTGGCTTTGAGAAGGAAGCTGGCAGGTAGTATGATCTCTAGCAGATGGAGAGACTGAGCCACAAAGAAGGCAGCCAGCCTGGCCGGGTTTCCCTGCCTGCTGGGCCTGAGTTTCCTCCCCTGCGGGAAGCGCCGCACAGGAGAGCATCCCAGCTCAGAGCCACCCTTCCTCCCCAGGTTGCTCAGCCCAGATTGAGGACTTGCGCCATCTGTGGCATCTTGGAAAGGAGTCTATTTTAAAGCCTATAAAAGTGTTCCAGGATAGAAAGTGCGCTAATAATGTCAGCCACTCTGGCCCGGGTGTCAGAGCAGCTGCCCGGATGGAAAGGCCTTGGCCCTCTTAGAGGCTATACGTAAATGTCAGCTACAGCCTGTGCCAAATGGGGTGAGAGTGGGGGCGCGGGTGATGGGGTACAAGCACCCTGTCCTGTGCTGGACTAGAGGAAAGAGAAGAAGCTCAGCGGGTGTCTAGGGCGCATTCCTGCTCTCCCCTGGTTGCAGTGGCCGACTTTGGGGGTCTCACCTTTGCTCAGAAGCCGTAGGCCATTTTTGAGTTTTTAAGCTGGTCTCCCAGCAAGTTCTAGCTGGCCCTGGGTGCTTCCTTTCTATGTCAGGAAGCTGTTTTCGTCTCTCTCTGTCTGTCTCTCTGTCTCTCGCTGTCTCCTCTTTTCCTCCCCTGGACCAGCTATTTTAGATTCCATACAATTTGATTAAGTGATAGTGCTGCCCCCTTGGTACTGTCCAGCCTGGGATGTGGGAAATTCTGTGCTAAGTGGCCTGAGCACCGAAAGCTGCTGGGTATTTCTAATTTTGGCATTAAGCCTTTACAAGTCTACATTCTTGGCATTGCCAACCAGTTAGACTAGAACAATAAACCCCAATTTTTGTTATGCGAGGCTGTAGTTAAAATGGCAACCGAGACCAGGCAGACACTTCCTGAGTGCTTAGGGGGTGGCCGACTAGTGATGGGTACTCAGGGAGACATGGTGGGGGTAGGATCTGGACCCCACTCTCACAGCTACTTAGAGATACCAATCCAGGGAACGTAAAGAGAACGAGTAAGTGTTTGGCAGTGCTTTTGAAGGTGAGAAGTAAGTGTTCAGCATTGGGGGTGGTGTGGAGTGTTTCGGGGAAGTTTCGTGGCAGAGTTGGAGCTTGTCACTCCTCGGGGTGGGCAGGATTGAGAGAGGCTGCGAGACAAGATGTGTTCTGAGTGGGGGACTCCCTCAGCCCAGAGGTGAGCAAGTGCTGGCACGTGCTCGGGTCTGGAAGGAAACCAGCCTGTCCACCAGCAGGCAGGCCTCCCTGCCATCGGAGTGTTTGGTGATTACTGACCCCAGAACAAAGCTGTCCTGGGATCCCGGCCCCCAGCAGCTCCAGGTGGAGCCTGGGCTCCGAGCAACTAGTTTGGAATGTCCTCCCAGGACATCAAGTCCCAGGGGACCGCAGCTTGACAGCCAGCCTGTCGTCAGCTCTTAGTATTCCTGCCGTCATCTGTGCTCTCTCGCTGTCCCTCAGCGTTGCCGCCCCATTGTGGAAGGCTGTCACAAGACGCGGTGGAGGCAGCCAGGCCTGGGAGAGCTGTGGCAGTGGCTTCCAGGGGTCACTGCCCCTCATTCAGTGGCTGAGCTGAGAGCTCGGACGTGCATAAATTTCCACTTTAAATCTGTGAGCTCCAGGAGGAAGAGGAAAGAGTTTTTTTTTTGAGTGGCCTTCAAGCCCATGGAAGTAATGACGCTCAGTTATGAAAATCAAGATCGTAGCTGTCCCTGAGGAGGCCCTTTGTGACTATTAGAGCTCCTGAAAGTGCAGTGGTGGGCTGTGGGTTCCCTGTCATTGGCCCTGCTGAGCAGAGACTGGCGGCCTCTTGTCAGAACTGGGACAGAAAGGGAGTGGGCGTGGTGAGCAAGTGCTGGAGCCCTGGCCACCTGCTCACTGTCCCGCGCGCTAACCTGCGTCCTTCGGCGCCCTCCCCTCCGTCTTCATCCGCCCGCCCGTGTCTTCCAGAGTTTACCCCAACGGCCTTAGCGGTGGACTTCTCAGCTGCCACTTCAGTCAGCTTTTAAGAGCATTATGTTTTCTTTGACAACCAAAGCATTGTTATGATTTTCTCTAAGCCTTAAACTACCTGAAAACTCTCACTGAAGAAAAACACTCCACGCAGTACAGTATAGGATCTAAGCTGTTTCTCTCGCTGATGCTGTGGGTCGCCGTCATGAGCTCACGTGTGTTGAGCACCCGTGTCAGGGGCCTTGTGCTTTACAGCCCGCGCGGCCAGCGTCCTTCTGTTCCTAATTTACGGAGGAGGAAACAGGCTCAGGGATCGAGCGAGCTGCCGAGGAGTGCTAAGTGAGGGCGCCTGGACTCAAGGCCCTGCCTTTGGAGGCTGGCCCTCCCCCTTCTGCTGGCTCAGTGGCCCGGAGCCGCCGGCCACCGGGCGTTGAGGCGAAGCCCCGTGTGCCGTTCTTTTCGTTCCGTTTGGTTTAGTTCTTTAAAGAGCGGCACCTGAGCCAACGTCTGTTGCCAATCTTCCTTTTTTTTTTCTTCTCCCCAAAGCCCCCCAGTGCATAGTTGTGAGTGCCTCTTGTTGCGGCATGTGGGACGCGCCTCAGCATGGCCTGATGAGTAGTGCCATGTCCGCGCCCAGGATCCAAACCAGTGAAATCCACGTGCCTTTCTCATTTCCCCTCTTCCTTCGCAGCTTCATTGCTGTGGAGAACATCGATAGCTACTGTGTGCTCATCTCCTCCAAAGCGGTTTACTTCCTGAAAAGTGGAGACTACGTGGATCGTGAGGCCATTTTCCTGGAGGTCAAGTACGATGATCTCTATCACTGCCTCGTCTCCAAAGACCACGGGAAGGTGTATGTGCAGGTGACCAAGAAGGCAGTGAACACAAGCAGTGGAGTGTCCATCCCCGGCCCTTCCCACCAGAAGCCCATGGTGAGTGCACCTGCCTGTCTTCCCAGCCCGAGGTAGGGAGGCCCTGGAGCACCTCCGCGCACCGACCCTGTCACCAGGGATTCATTTTAGGTTCCTTTTAGGTTGGTAATACCCAGGGGTACTGCCCCCTAGTCCTCCACACAGAAGGAGCTCAGTGTGGGTTAACCGGGTGATGCTGCCCTCCTGGCTCTACCACTAATGACCCTGGGCAGGGTCCTCGACACCACTGCCTCGGTTACCCATCGGTGCAGTGCGGGTAGTAGTACCAATGCTAATTAGTTGTGAGGACCAACTGGCATGATCCTTGCGGGGTTTTATCCCTAAAATGTGACTCTTTGGGGAGCTGACTCTAAGAGGGTGTTAGAGCACACACTGGCTTCTTTCTTGTTTCTCCTATATGACAATGGACAAAGAAGCAATATCTAGGATAGGCCCCTGCCCAGGGTTAATGCTCGATAAATATTTGTAAATAAAATTTAAGCTGTGCCTCCAAAGGGTGCAGGTATTGTTATGGTGGGATTTTTAAATAATAATGTTCCCATTAATAGCCAACATTCATTAAGGGCTCACTGTGTGCCAGGCTGGGCACTAAGTACTTCTTATATGTTATTTGATGTTGTGCTGCCATTGTCCCCCTTGACTGGTAAGGGGGCGTGGTGAGGGCAGGTGACTTGCTCAGGTTATACAGCCAACACCAGAAGGAGCTGGGGTTCAAACCCAGGTGGTGCAGCTCTGGAGCTGGCAGTCTGGAGCCCTCTGCTCTGCTGCCTCTGCTCAGAAGGACTGCTGGCTCAGCAGAAGCGTGTGTGGGGAGATGCTCGTCTCTCGCCATGATCTGGCTTGGTGGCTTTTCATGAACCCCAGGTGTTAGTCCTGCTCATTTTCCACCTCGTATGCTAGGATTTTCAGGCCTGCATTCGAGAATGACATGTCGTTCAAAATGGCCCTGCTTATCTCTGAGTCTTTCTAGAGATCAGAAATAGCAACCAGCCTGACTGGGCCTCTCTCCCTCGACCTTCCACCTGCTCAGGAATGCACTTGGGTGTGGCTTGGCTCGTGCTGGCTCCCTCAGAGTCAGGGGCTTACATTAGGGCTGGTAGAATGAAGTTAGCCCCCCAAAGTGTGAGCAGACCAATGAGATCCTTGTTGTCGCGGGGACCCAGCCCAGCTACACTTTTGCTCCTTTTGAGGCAAGTGAACAGGAAGTGTTCTTGATGAGCAGGGTCTCAAGGGATCTGTTTGCTGATGCCTCCTCCTCTTTGGCCATCGCCAGACTTTAGTGTGACCCCAAAGGTCCAATCCCCTATCCTTGCTTCATGTTCCCACAGCAGCTCCTCGCCGCCTCGGAGCTGAACCTGCTTCTCAGTGGCAGGGAGCCCCAAATGTCAGGTGGCTACACAGTCACCTGGGGAATATGTTGAAGATACAGATTCCAGGAATCCCCCACCGTACCTTGAATCAGCATTAACTAGGCGTAGGGCCCTGGGCATCTGTTTCTTAAAAGTACACCCATGCTGGTCTGATCGGCAGCCAGGCTGGGAGCTGCTGCCTGGGTGGATTTAAATTGCCCATGCTCTGTGATTCCGCTTGGTTCCCCCAACTCAGGGGCAGGTTACTCATTCTGTTCTGCTCTTCAGGTCCATGTGAAATCAGAGGTCCTCGCTGTCAAGTTATCACAAGAAATAAACTATGCAAAGAGCCTTTACTATGAACAGCAACTCATGTTAAGACTCAATGAAAATCAAGAGCAGTTGGAGCTGGACTCCTGAAAAATCCAGCTGTCGAGACAGACGCTCCCAGACAGAACCCAACCAATCAGGAGGAGAGAGGCCAGGAGGCTCGGCTTAAATTAGAGGCAGACCGGAATAAGGCTTGGGGGATGGGAGCAAGGACAAGGGAGAGTAAAACCGATGAGGGGGATACCGGTGGAAACCATATTAATTTGTGAGACGGGGGGAGAATGGTACTTTAGGTTATGGGGAAGTAATTTTTAAAAGGTATTGGTTGAATAACGTAAAAAGAAAAGTGTACTGAGATGAATCTAATTTTTAGATTGCCCTGTATTTTGTTAACATGTATATATGTACAAGCGTGTGTCTGTAAATATATAGGAGCATTTCTGAACAGGGCCTGTGATGTGTGTAAAGGTTTGTTAACTGTAAAGTAATATAAAATTATATTGGATCTTCTATTGCACTAACTACACGTCTAATTCAGGGTACTCGCTCTAAAAGGGTGTTTCTTGAAAGTTGAAGAATGTTCTGTCTTCGTTTTGGAAACCAGAGTATTCACAGTAAAGTGGACTGAGGTGAGATCGAAGGTGTTCACGAGGGATGCCTTTGGGGCTTGTGGGTACCCTGGGTCCACCCGGGCTGGAGCTGCGAGCTGGGGTGCTCAGAACCAGGGCCGCCCCACCTTTAGAGAGACGTGGGAGAGTGGCTGGAAAGCAGTCTTTTATTTATTTCTCACCCCTGTTTTAAAGATCTTAGATTATCACAAATTATTTTTTGTCTGTCTTATCTACTTGGCTTTCTCGTGACCAGTCTTGCCAAACTTGGAGGTAAAATTGTTTCCCGTTATTGCACACTCACACCAGCATTATAAGCTTTTCTTGGGTTATTATCAGAGAGGATCACTTTGAAGCACTGGTAGGCTCTGCTGATTTAGAAGGAAAAAATCCCAGAGAACTATTTGTTTTAACAAATCAAAAATCCGTAATAAGAATGCTCTCCTTCCTGGGCAACAGCAAAGGAGAAGGTCCTGGGACTTTTTTCTTTTTAGTAAAGCCACAGGCAGGCACCCAACTCCACAGCCCTGGGGGCACCGTGATCACAGCACCAGGGTGAGAAGAGAGAGGGAGAGAGTCTCAGAAAAGGGAATGAAATATGAGTATTAAAAAGCTGTTTTTGTAAGTTTTTCATGGAACCAAGACTGGCCAAAACATCTCTTGTCCTTGGTTTGAAATTCCATTAGCAAGGCATGGTGTGAGGGCCCTCCTTCCTGGGTCTTGTTCCTGTTGTTCTCTTTTCTGTAAGGAATAAACATGCTGGAGGCAGAGGGGAAGACCTCACTCTAGAATGAATGACTAGCTTTGTGATTTTAAATTTTTATTTTAATAAAGCTGATCAATTTCTACAACCTTTCATGCGTAGCTGAGATCTAAAATGACTCAGATCAGTGGATGTGCGGAAGCTTTTAGTGTTTATAACTCATGACCCAAATCCTTCCAAGACACGAATGAAGCCGATCTTTCTCTGTCTCTCTCCCTCTCCTTTCCCCCCTTGTGTGCGTGCGTGTGTGCGAGTGTGTGTGTCCAAAGAAGCAAGAAGGGAGCTTCAGCTCGAGTGCTTTAGCTAAATAGCATCTTTAAGGATTGTTTGAACCCCAAGGTTTGGATAGTCTTCACTGAACTCTAAGTTCGCGGATTGCAGAATTGAAGCTTGGCTTTTGAAGGGTTGGGGTGCATTTCCGGTTGGTTGGTTGGTTTTTTTCCTGCTGGGTGGCAGTCATGGTTGTTGCGGTGCTCATACACAAGACCCACAGCAGGACGGCCGAGTGTCGCCTCCTGCAGGTCTTCTGGTCCTCCTCAGCAGCCGCCCTCTGTGCGCCCCACAAAGGCTTGTGGCTTCTGTCTTCAGTAACCCACTGCCTGAGACCATGATCTCTCCAAGATGAGACTCTCAGAAAGGTTGATTGTCTGTGCCAGTGAGCCTTCTGTCACTTTCTGGAATGAAGTCACTCGCAGTTTCTGTACTGAATTAAGGAGCTTAGAATTATTAAGTCTGCCTTCAGCACCTGGGCCTTCCCAGCTCTAACTGCAGAAAGTGGGCTGAGGGCTGCACTGTGGAACGGTGCTTCCGGGAGGACTCGGGCGTGTTCCGAGGCCCCCCTCCAGACCCCTTTCTAATTTTAATCAGCTCTTGAAGTAGTTGCCCATCTCCTCTGATTGCACAACCCCTCTGACAGTTGCGCCTTAGAAGAGGCAGATGTTAAAATAAGATCCAAAGACCAAATGGGGTGAGGCTGGAGGGGGGCGCCGCTGAGGGGGCCTGGCAAGCTCTCCTCTGCCCTCGCGGCCCTCCTGCCAGGCGCCGCCATCAGGGCTCAGGGGCTTTAGATGTCGTTACCTGGTTTGCCAGCAAGAAAACCCACAGCCCCGGAGGCAGCACCCGGCCCCTTGAACGCTGAATTGCTCTGGAGCCAGTGATGTCCGAGACTTTGCTATGATAATTTCTACCGATTTTCCTGCTGCCTCATACACAGTTCCTCTCTGAGGAAAGTAAAGTAAATTGAATAAGGAGAAATCAGAAGCCATCCGAATGCCCTGACCCAGCACAGCTGGCCAGCCCACAGCACTGCCTAACCATAGCTGCTTTTCTTTGCCCACTGAAAAGGCTGTCCAGAGGCCAGCGTGTCCCCACACCCCAGCCTGGCCCTTGCGAACCGGAAACAGGAAGGCAGCCTCTTGGCAGCCCCGGGGCGTCTTGCTGCTCACTGGGGACTCACCTCAGTGTTCAGAAGGCTCCAGGGCCTCTTTGTTCTTAAGCATCATCTGTGCCTCAAAATACCATAGTAGCTGCTTGATAAAATTCTGAAAATAAAATATCTGGTTCTCCACGGTGTAAACATTATTACACACAGTCACCAATCTGCTAAAACTCTTTAATCTGTTTCTCGTATCAGAGTTGTTATTTTTCTTCCTGTGGAATAAAATGCTTTGTTGACTTCCCAGACAAGCTGTTTTCTTCTGGTTTCTTGGTGATTCCAGAACCATCGCCAATGACAAATGCCAGACATCTTGCAACGTTCACGATAGCACGCAGCCTTTCCCCTCATCCAGGGAAGCACGGCACTAGGGCAAACGCCGCACCTTGAACGTTACTTCACTTTCCACGAGTAAGCAGCACTTTCCCTGGCCCGGAGCCTGGCCGTGTGCTGGCTGCTTCTCATCCCACCCCCTAGGTTACGGGTGTGGGCTCTGGGAGGATGCAAGTTGCCCTTTCCTGAGAAGGGGAGACTTCAGGAGGGGCAGGTTTGGTGCTCACTTTGGACATGTTAAGTTCAAGGTGCCTGCTTCATGTCCACTGGAGGAGTGGAGAAGGCCGTCGGCCATACGAATCTGGAGTTCACGAGAGAAGTCTGGGCCAAAGGCACCAATTAGGACTCATCGGCACGCAAATGACAAGGGATCCTGGATGAAATCCCCAAAGATGAGAGTGGGAGCAGCAAAGAGAAGAGGCCCCAGATCTGAGCCCTGGGGATCCCCAACATTCAGAGTTTAGGCAGATGGAGAG